ACCTCTCCCTAAAGAACACTTTGAATCTGCAATTAGGTGTTGTCCTTTACAGGGAGGTAGTTATAGTGTATTGGCAAATTCATACAGATCTACAATATTATTAACTTAGAAAAGCTGAGACAATGGAACCTAGTGGAGATTGTTTAAACGACTTGAGGAAAGGGCAACAACAACAACATTATTAACTCTTGATTAGAAATAAACGATCTTCCCTGATTTATAATAGTATCAAATAAATAAAGCTTCCAGGGTTAAGTTTCTTGTACAACTTTTTATTTTTCAAGCTTTCGGACTTGTAAGTCCTTCAACAGGATTATCACGTTATGTATATAATAATGTGTATATAAAAATTTTGTATTCATTATTAAATTTTTAATGTGATAATCCTGTTGAAGGACTGACAAGTTCAAAAGCTTCAAAAATAAAAATCACATTGGCAAAACCTCAGAGAAGAGAGTTTGTTTGCCACTGATAAGCAAAGTCCTTTTTTTTTAAATTTTACTTATCCCATTTATTCTTTTGTCTGATGATGGTGACAATGCTGTTGCTGAAACGTCACACACTAATAAATTATTTGGATTAAGTCTTATTTTATTTTATTATAATCTATAATTATAGAAGAGACCTCTTCCGTACCATCAAAACCCAATGCCTACAGGAATGGGAATCTAATGCTGCACATGACTGGTACACAGAGCAGGAGGGACAAACACCGGTTCTGTCCTCCCAAGAGAACAACAGTCTTTGATTTCCAGACTTAAGTCTGGTCATTTACGGACAATGACTTTCCAGAATGGTTGCAAGGTTTTCCCACTATGTACTAAGTGTCAGCCTGCAACCCCAAGACATATTATTGACTGTATTGACTCATCCATTGATGAGCTCTACTCTTCCCCGGCAGACACCATCAACAAGCTCTACAAGCTTGATACCTTAGTGTGATTGAGTGGAGATAAGAAAGAAGAAGATAATCCAAATTGTGCTTTATCACTTTATTATTATCCTATTGTATAATTATACAAGGTCATGGAGCCTCCGCCTTTGCCGGTCCCAAGCCTGGATGAAAAAGGAGGAGGGGGAGCAGTAACAAGCTCACTAAAAAACCTGGGCTCAGCTGGCCCGGCTGATAGTGCCCTGTAAGGGCTCCAGGGATACAGGATGAGCAGCGTTTGTACTCCATGTTAGGATCAGCTGCACATGGTGTCTGTTCATGTCAGAGGCGGCCATTTCTTTTGGAGCTAAGTCGGCCTGCCACTGAGTAGTGCTCCCAGTCTTAATGACAAAGGCAGACACATTCTACCCAGTGTGGAGATAAGAAAGAAGAAGATGGAGACTATATTGTTGTCATCCCAGGAACATAGATCACGTCGGTTTCCTCGGACGTATTTATATCAATGTTTACTCCATAAGAGTCTCCATGATAGGTACAAAGAGCTGCTGTCGTTGACTGGTTATCTTCCACATGGACAGTCAGACTTTGTCTTCCCTCATTTTAATACAGTAGAAGTGTCTCACTTTAGGAATTTGATGGGAATTTGCTGAGAAAACTGTTTATTGACCTTCTAAAAGAATTCCAAGAGGCTTTCCTAGAGTTCCAGAAGAGGCTCACTCTAGGAATTTGATGGGAATTTGCTGAGAAGACTATCTAACGATGTTCTAAAAGAATTCCAAGAGGCTTTCCTTGAGTTCCAGAAGAGGCTCACTCTAGGAATTTGATGGGATTTTGCTGAGAAAACTGTTTATTGACGTTCTAAATGAATTCCGGAATGCTTTCCTAATAGTTCCAGAAGAGTACAGTAGAAGAGTCTCACTTTAAGAATTTGATAGGATTTTGCTGAGAAGACTATTTAACGATGTTCTAAAAGAATTCCTGGAAGCTTTCCTAATAGTTCCAGAAGAGTCTCACTCTAGGAATTTGATGGGATTTTGCTGAGAAGATTGTCTATTGATGTTTTAAATGAATTCCAGAATGCTTTCCTAATAGTTCCAGAAGAGTACAGTAGAAGTGTCTCACTCTAGGAATTTGATGGGAATTTGCTGAGAAAACTGTTTATTGACGTTCTAAAATAATTCCAAGAGGCTTTCCTAGAGTTCCAGAAGAGGCTCACTCTAGGAATTTGATGGGATTTTGCTGAAAAGAATGTCTATCTATGTTCTAAATGAATTCCAGAATGCTTTCCTAATAGTTCCAGAAGAGTACAGTAGAAGTGTATCACTCTAGGAATTTGATGGGAATTTTCTGAGAATATTGTCTATTGATGTTCTGAAAGAATCCCAGAAACTTTCCTAGATTCCAGAAGAGGCTCACTCTAGGAATTTGATGGGATTTTGCTGAAAAGAATGTCTATCTATGTTCTAAATGAATTCCAGAATGCTTTCCTAGAGTTTCAGAAGAGTAGAAGTGTCTCACTTTAGGAATTTGATGGAATTTTGCTGAGAAGATTGTCTATTGATGTTCTAAAAGAATCCCAGAAAGCTTTCCTAGAGTTCCAGAAGAGTGTCTTTGTGGGATATTTTGGAAGTGAACAGTAGATTAATGACGGCACCTAGTTACAGAGCAAAGTGTCCCTTAGAGAGAGGTATCCTCTTACTGAAGAGTTGGCAATTTCGGTGATGAAAACTGATCTTTTATAGAGAGATGTCCGCACGTCCTCTAGCTGGGGTGTCCTCTCACAAAGGTTCTACTGCATTTTCATCTTTCATTTAAGTGGTTATAGAATTTTTTTTTCTCTTAAAAAATAATTTGCCCTGATAATTCAACACTTCAACCATTTTTTTGGTACCCAATCCCCCTATTCACTTTAATTTAACCTTCTATAATTCGACCACTTATGCATACCTCTGGTGAATCCTGTATAAGGTCAGTGACCCTAAATAAAGGCTTTTTGTTGTTGTTGTTTTAATTCAACCATTTTTTTAGGGGTCCTATTAGTTTATTTACTTTATTTTAGCAGAATTCATTGGAGTATTTAGATGGGTTTGCTCAGATGAACTTTGGTGGTCCGAGGTGAAGGCTTCAAACCTGTAGCTGCTTAGAAGCGGACTGGTTCAATTCTACCTTCTGGGCGCCTTATTTTTCTGTAAAAAGTCTGTGAACGAGTGGGTAACACCCTTGATTCCAGACAGTTATGAACCGGTATTGAATCCCGTGTTAACATTTTGTTTTAATATGTGAATAACTTTCACATATTATTCATTGTTTCAATTATCATAAACTAGGTTGCTCTTTAGACGAAAAAACATGGTTGGTTCAAATTCACATAAATAGGTACCGCTCAGCAAGAGCAACCTAGTTCATGATAATTGAACAATGAATAATATGTGAAGGCTATTCACATATTAAACAAATTTTAACGCGGGATTCAATCCCAGTTCGTGACTGTCGGGAATCGAGCGTGTTACTCTCTCATCCACCGACTTAACTCCACAGATATAAACGTCAAACTAGACGCTATCTATTGACCATCACCACAAAGTAGCGGCCTCAGGTCGATGACAAAGCCACAACACCATATTTGGCAAAATGAGAAGCGTCCACCTGGGCTCAGAAAAACCCTTCAACAGGCGAGCAATGAAGCGCGACTTATAAGAACTATGGTACAAATGGTAAATATTCACCATGTTTTTTTTTCGTCTAATTTCAATTCAGGAAGAATTCTTTAGGTTGCTCTTGTTGAGCAGTACCTAATAAAGTGATTTTGAACCGGAACCAGTAGATGGGTTTCCTGTTGATGGAACAACTGATATAGGTAGGAATGTTAGCTGGACATAGTGGGACAGCCTTGGGTACCAGGAGTTCTCCAGACATACTTCATCTGTGTCCCGTCCCAGGGTCACCCCATTTCCCCGCCACTTTGAGGCAGTTAACAGGTCTTGGGGAGGTATTAGGTAAAATTAAAGAGGAATGGACTTCAGGAATTAGTTTAAACCATGGAGATAAGCACAACCACCACCACTTTAATTTAACCTATTATAATAAAGGAAATAAGACCTAATCCAAATAATTTATTGTGTGTGACGTTTCGGCAACAACATTTTCACCATCATCAGACAAAAGAATAAATTGGATTAGGTCTTATTTCCTTTATTATAATCTATAATCCAAATTGTGCTTTATCATTAACCTATTATAATTCAACACCTATAGAATAAAATAGCATTTGTAATTTTTTCCTTTTTTATCCATCCTTAAAAGTTAATCATAAAACATTCTGAAAAAAAAAAAAAAAAAGTCCCAATGATATCAATTACAATATACAGTAGAACCTCCCATTAGAGGACACCTTTCTACAAAGGACAGTTTTCATTTGCAAAATTACCATTTTTACTATTTAGCAACTCTCTAGTAAGAAAACACCTCTCCCTAAAGGACTATTTGGCTCTGTAATTAGGTGTCGTCCTTTACAGGGAGGTAGTTCTACTGTACTTACAAAAGCATTTTCTAAAAATATTATTTCTATTATATATTTGGTTATCTTCTTCTTTCTTATATCCACTCAATCATATTAGGGTACTGGGTGAAGTTGAATGCGTCTGCCTTAAGACTGGGAGCACTACTCAGTAACAGGCCACTGACTTAGCTCCAAAAGAAATGGCAGCCTCTGATATGAGGAACAGATGCCATGTACACAGCCGCTCCTAACATGGAGTACAAACGCTGTTCATCCTGTATCCCTGGAGTCCTTACAGGGTACTATCAGCATGGCCAGCTGAGCTCAGGTTTTTTTAGTGAGCTTGTTACTGCTCCCCCTCCTCCTTTTTCATCCGGGTTTGGGACCGGCAAAGACGGAGTTAATATCAATTGGCTATTTATGATAAAGCACAATTTGGATTATAGATTATAATAATAGAAAATAAAGACCTAATCCAAATAATTTATTAGTGTGTGAATCATTGATTCTTTTGTCTGATGATGGTGACAATGTTGTTGCCGTCACACACAAATAAATTATTTGGATTAGGTCTTATTTTCTTTTAATTGGTTATTTAGCTATCTTAGAGTAAAATGACCCCACTAGCAGTGAATGTTGTGATAAAATCATCTGACTGACTTTTAATTCAACACTTGCTTTATGAAAGGATACAATTTGGATTATAGATTAGAACTACTAGGTAAAATAAGACCAAATACAAATAAATTAATAGTGTGTGACGATAAGGCACAATTTGGATTATAGATTATAACTACTAGGTAAAATAAGACCAAATACAAATAAATTAATAGTGTGTGACGATAAGGCACAATTTGGATTATAGATTAGAACTACTAGGTAAAATAAGACCAAATACAAATAAATTAGTGTGTGACGATAAGGCACAATTTGGATTATAGATTAGAACTACTAGGTAAAATAAGACCAAATACAAATAAATTAATAGTGTGTGACGATAAGGCACAATTTGCATTATAGATTAGAACTACTAGGTAAAATAAGACCAAATACAAATAAATTAATAGTGTGTGACGATAAGGCACAATTTGGATTATAGATTAGAACTACTAGGTAAAATAAGACCAAATACAAATAAATTAATAGTGTGTGACGATAAGGCACAATTTGGATTATAGATTAGAACTACTAGGTAAAATAAGACCAAATACAAATAAATTAATAGTGTGTGACGATAAGGCACAATTTGGATTATAGATTAGAACTACTAGGTAAAATAAGACCAAATACAAATAAATTAATAGTGTGTGACGATAAGGCACAATTTGCATTATAGATTAGAACTACTAGGTAAAATAAGACCAAATACAAATAAATTAATAGTGTGTGACGATAAGGCACAATTTGGATTATAGATTAGAACTACTAGGTAAAATAAGACCAAATACAAATAAATTAATAGTGTGTGACGATAAGGCACAATTTGGATTATAGATTATAAACGAAAGGTAATAAGACCAAATAAATAAATAGTGTATGACGTTTCGGTAACAGCATTGTTACCATCTTCAGATAAAAGTACTGAATGAGACCATGCTGTGGTAAATTTTCTCATTCAGTACTTTTGTCTGAAGTTGGTAACAATGCTGTTACTGAAACATCACACACTATTTATTTATTTGGATTTGGTCTTATTACCTTTTGTTTAATATTGTGTGACATTTTGGTAACAGTGTTGTTACCATCATCACAGATAAAAAAGATAAATAAGTATTATCATATTAATATTATTATTTATATATTAAAATATATTATACAGTAAAACCTCCATGAGAGGACACTCTAGCTAGAGGACACCTCTCTACAAAGGACAGTTTTTATTTGTCAAAATTACCATTTTTACAATTTAACAACTCTCTGGTAAGAGAACACCTCTCTACAAAAAAAAAAGTTTTTATTTGTAAAAATGACCATTTTTTACTATCTAGCAACTCTCTGGTAAGAGGACACCTCTCTATAAAGGACAATTTTCATTTGTCAAAATTACCATTTTTACAATTTAACAACTCTCTGGTAAGAGGACACCTCTCCCTAAAGGACACTTTTGCTCTTCAACTAGGTGTCCTCTACAGAGAGGTTTTACTGTATATATTATAAATTAAATATTATTCTTTTGTCTCTGTGTGATGTTGGTAACAAGATGGTAAATGAAACCCTCACACTATTATTTTTATTTGGATTTGGTCTTATTACCTTGCAACATTTTCTTTAATTCAACAAAAAAAAAAAGCTCTGATTAATTGTCAAATTATGTCAAATTAAAGAGATTAAATGATAAGGCACAATTTGGATTATAGATTATAAACATAAGGTAATAAGACCAAATCCAAATAAATATAAATAGTGTGTGACGTTTTGGTAACATCATTGTTACCATCTTCAGACATTTTCAGTACTTTTGTTTAAAGATGGTAATAACGCTGAAACATCACACACTATTTATTTATTTGGATTTGGTCTTATTACCTTGTGTTTAAAGAGGTTAGACTGTAGTCGCCTTTCTCACACACTAGGTCCACTGATGCTCTGATTTTTTCTTATCTCTTTGGAAAAGCAGGATGTTCATGGACAGTCAATCTATACCTTCAGAGTATTGATGATTTCTTCATATGAGGAAATTTTCTTTCCCTCCCAACCACTTGGGTTTGGGGAAAAGCTCATTAAGGCCCTATTTAATAGAGTATTAAGTGGACTCAGCGACAATTTGAAACTATAATTTGGTGTAATTTGGTCATTGCAACTGTGGCGGTAGATTGTTGTTGTGGTGAAAGAGTGGCAACCTTGGAATTTAGCACTCAACTTTCAATATCTTCTTCTTTCTTATCTTCACTCAATCATATTTAGGATATCAAGCTTGAGTCTGGGTGAAGTAGAATACCTTTGTCATTAAGACTGGGAGCACTACTCAGTGGCAGGCCACTGACTTAGCTCCAAAATAAATGGCCGCCTCTGACATGAGGAACAGACAACATATGCAGCCACTCCTAACATGGAGTACAGACTCATTCTATATCCCTGGAGCCCTTACAGAGTACTATCAGCCGGGCCAGCTTAGCGCAGGTTTTTTAGCAAGCTTGTTACTGCTCCCCCTCCTCCTTTTTCATCCAGGCTTGGGACCAGCAAAAGCTGAGATAACTTTCAACATTATGTTTTATCATTTTTAATGTTTTTTTTTTATATTCTCTTTATATATTTCTCTCTGGGAATTACATCAGTTTTGACAGATTTAAAAGTTTTTGGAGGATTTACCAGGTCCTGCTTGTTTAGACTGGGTTGCAATTGTCAGCTATAAATCTATGCCAAAGTCCTGTGGATTATGAGCAATTTCCATAAACACCATTAACCAGTAACTCGAAAACTTGTAGACTCGTTAAAAGTGTAATAAAGAAATGTAATTCTTCTGTCCTATAAGCTTATGTCCATAGTTTTCTTGAAAACCATTTCTGAGATTCCATCCTTCAGTGCTGCGTATTTAAGCAGAATCGTTCAATACAGTATTAGAGCTCTGAGAAGCGGTCTGGTGGATTAAATTGGCGAAACCGCTGGAAGGGTTCACCATTGATGAGCCAAGCCCTCCCAATATATTTTTTTCATCGCAGTAAGAAACATTAGAAGTT